CCGCGTCATCGTAATTTAGAAAAAAATTGCCATTCTAGTCTCGGCGCATAACTCGGTGTATTTATATTTCATTATTAGCTCAGAGGATGTTGAAAATGCACACAAAGCGAACCCGAGATGAACTCGCAAAACGCTTGAGAACGCACAAAAGAAAACTAACTGTATTCATTTGCATAATTTACATAAGACATGAATGTTATTTTTTTTCACATGGCTCGTGGACCAATGAAAAAAATCCTTAACACGTCCATCATTCATAAGGAAAGATAGTTATTCCAGGGCTAAATTTTGCACAAAAATTGGAGGCAAAGTTTTTCATAGGTCTTTGGCCGTTTTCAGGAGGGTATTATGCGTAAAAATATTTTATTTTTTGCATTTTTCTATAATGGAATGGTTTTTAAGAAAAGAAAAAACGAATTAATTAACTTAAACTTCACTAACAAGATTATTCAATTTGCACATTACTTTTTATTGAATCAAGGCCAGGAGCCAAGAGGCAGAAAATTGACATTTTTTAAATGCTCTTTTTCACCCAATAAGGTTTTTTATAGGTCGAGGGAACATATTAATTAGAGCAAAAGGTTCCATACTAAACAAATTTTTTCTGCACATTTTATAATTGAAATTTCTTAACGAATTAATGAACTGAATAATCCTTAGGTTAAAGAAGCTGAAAGAATGTGTTAATTTTTCTCAACGTTTGGGGCTTTAAAATTCAACTTTTTCCAAAAGAAGATTGCAATTAAAATAACAATATATGCCAATTTACAGATCACCAATTCAAAAGTGCGGTAGGTGTTTGAATTTGCTTATGGAGAAAGCGTCGAACGCAAAAATCTGAATATTCCGCCCTCTCCATTGATGAATTTGCAGCGCGTGCAAGGGGATGATGGTAAAGCAAATCCAACAAAAGCGAGCAACTTTCCTTTTGCCCGTCGAATATGAAAGAACTTTGACTTCGGCGCAGTGCGAAAGAAACTTTTCATTAGTATTTTGCATTGAGGCGCCGACGTGCGCATGAGTGCAGCATGCACATCGGAGCGAGGCACCCCTTGCCGCCGGCTCTCGCGGCACCCGACACCCCCGGCGTAGTAAAAGTGAACTCGTCCGTCCGTAAACCGCGCTGTTTAGCTATTTGTGAAGCGGAGAGAGAGAAAAAGAGGTAATGCGTGCACTTGGCGCGCCAATTCGGCCCGTCGGGGTGCTTTGCACCCCATCCAGCACAAGGGGAGGCACCGACTTTGATATTATACGCGATGACCACGTGGTCAGTGGCAGAACCACGTGCATACAATTTTGATTTATTTCTTTCGATTATTTCCGAGTATGGCTGATCAGAGGAGCAGATTTAAACGCGTGATTAATTGCGCGCCGCTTGTTGGTGCTACTTTTCATGACAGAAAGAAAGAAAGAATGGAGCACCAGGAACGGTTCTTTTGTACCAGTAGTTGTAAATCCTCTTATATACTTTTTAAGTCTTGATCTTGTTTGTCAACTGCTTATTATGCACTCTCGGTTACCAAAGTGGTGCAATAGTTACTGGCTTGATGCAAATCAGCGAGGTCACTAGTCCCGCCCGTGTCCCTGTTATCTACGGAGGAAAATATCTCTTTTCATCTATTGACGCGAATCTATATAGTTGCGAATGTTAGAAAATGGGTCCATTTGTTTCATCTTCATTCCCATTATTTTCATTTTTTTAAAGAGAAGAATTTAAATTTGTAATTTTTCTTTTCGGCTGTAAACGAAATTAAATTTTTCTTTTTTTATAATTGACATTTAAATATTTTCTAATAATTACACCTCCGGTGCACGTGACCTGTCAATTTAAGATGAAGGGATTATAATCATGTTATCTGTTGCTCATTTTTATTATACAATTTAAATCGGCAATAAAATTTATCGCGTTTGCCGCAAGATTTAACATTCCAGCTTTTCGAGTAATAAGACCATCACTTATTCGAAATCGTGCCTCCTTATGCAAATCACCAACCAATCAGGCCGATTCCAATCACCATCCCGCGCTAAACCCACACATTTTCAGCACATTTTCTTAACTTATTGCATTTATCATCGAGTTTATGAGATGTCAAGGAAACACGCAACTCATTTCATACTTGAAACTATTCATCAACAAAAATAAAATATACACGGTCGCAAAGTTTATCGAATGAGGGCGTCAAATTATAGGAAAAACTATACAAAAATAAGTTTGAATTGCCTTTTCTGGAGTGTTTTAATTTGTCCCTCTCGCGGAAAATGTTCGTTGGGGCCGCGATATGATATATTTATTTGTACGCAACGCCAGATGACACATTTTTTTAAAAACGTTGGCCGCGCCGACCCTCGTCTTCGACTTATCTCTCCCATACCTGACTGGAACCTGCCTTAGAAAAACCATGACCACGGTGACTGCTCCCATGCTCGCTGGATATAGCAAACGCGTTTGCGGTTCCTCCCCTCGAAACCCCTCAAACAGGGTGGCAGCTGCCAGCTTTTTATCCGGCCTCTTTTGGCTCGCGCCGCCGCTCCGCACACATATGTATCTACTTTACACGGGACGTATGCTTTCTCGCAATAATGTGCACTTTACTTTCACCCGAATGATGATGTATCGCCGACTCGGATCAATGGGCGTTTTATTGTTTAGTACCTGCGGAGCAATTATTGCCGCGGATTTATGGCCGCGTTTATGAATTTACGGCTCTCGATTGGCGCGTATCTCTCTCCGAATACATCGCCTACCAATTAACTTTTCGCACTAAATAAAAATTGATAAAAAAAAGTTATGCATATCTAAGCAAGAAAAAGAAAAAATGTTCTAAATTGGAAGAAATTAGCTTTCCAATTTTACTGATTTTTTTTATTTTTATTTATCTTGCTCATGAAACATGGTCGCTGACCGTGACCAAAACTGGCAGAGCCGTTTTCTTTTTTTTTTTTAATAAATTATTTAATGAAAAAAAATTAAATTTTTCCCATTAGGACAATAGATTGTTTTGTTTTCTTCACTTCCATGATCGCCTCCTGAAGTGCCAATTTTTTCAATCACACATTTTTCTAAAGTATTAATTTCCAATCGAGCTACTACCCTTTGACGCCCGTCAATCAAAGCCTTTGTCGGCTTTCGCACTTCTCTCCAACCCCTTCTCTCATGCATCGCGATGCATTCGACTGGCGCGCGTACACATAATACTAGTTTTCATTATTCCAAAAACTACCCCTGCGTTGAAAACGGTTGGATTCTCCGCGTGCAAAACATCATCCCCTATCCTATCTGTTGTGCGAGAAGGAGTCCCTTTTGGAAAAAGTATATGTGCTACAAATAAATTCAATGGCTCGTCAGGGGTTTCAATTCAATTTCCCAACAATGCGCCAATGCTTTTTTTTCACCCAGGCACGCATTTTCTCTCTCCGCTCCCTGAGGTGTCTAAAAATAGACAGAATGCAGCTTCCTTTCCGCATGGTCAGGCCATTCACGCGTCCTGACTTTCTATATACCTTTTTATGTTTGCTAAGGTCAGAGACACCCCCGATGGCTACAAACGGCTTTTTTAAAAGGAAAAAATAATAATGATGGGCAATTTAAAAAGATTGAAATATTTCTTTCGCTCTGCTGGAATTGGGCATTGTTCCCAAATAAGTCAAGTAATCGGTGTGCGCTGCGATAAGTGGGGGAGGTATATATATTATGGAGAGGCTGATTCAATGGGAAGATAAACAAATTTAGTTATGATGAGCAGAATTCTCTAATAATCCGTCTGCTTATATTATTTGGAGGACAATCAAAATAAAGACTGCTCACGCATGCGCAATGCTTACAGCTAAAGCCACCAAAAATTCACTGTGATATTAAAAAACCTGTTTGAAATGGGAAAAAATAGTCTTTATAAAATAAATAATAATGAAGCATAAAAAAATTACTAAAATTAATTAATAATTAAAAAAAATATATCAGTTTATATATTTTTTTAAATTATTATAATGTGAATTTATTTAATTGATGAATAATTAATAAATAACTGTTTTTATTTATTTACAAAACAAATTATATTAAAAAAATATTATTAGTTAAAATTTAGATTGAAACAAATTTATAAATGAGTAAATATTTAAAATTAAAAACAAATATGATTAATATAGTTTTTTTTAAATTACAAAATTACATTCTGTTTATTAATTAGATGCATGAAATGGAATTTGCTCCATGATGTGATTAAAAAATAATTAAAAACAAATAATAAATCTCTAATTGAAAATTAATTACAGGTGCGTTGGTACGCATGCCAGTACTCTTGTATAAAGGCAGCATTGCGCTGACAGAGCGAAAACAACGTGCCTTTCATCTGAAATGCATGGCCGGCACTTTATCTGTGCACGGCGCATCAAGAGCTGCTTATTATGTACGCTCGTCCGCGTTGCCACGTCTCGCGTGTACGCTGCTCGGTATATTATTCAGTTTAATGCGTAAGTGTGCATCATTCGTGCGCATCTCTCGCGGCGGGCCTCGGCGCGCGGAGAATATTGCTCCGGTCCCCTCGCTCCCCGCTCCGCCCTCTTTGCAAAGTAGCAAAGTAGACCGGCTGCTGCCGCGCTTTGATTAGGAAAAAAAAAACAGAAGAGATGCGCATTTCAATACTCAATTCGCGAGACGAACCTATTCGGAAAAGCAGAAGAACCCGGGCCGTGTGCAAAATGCAATCTTATGCACAACAATGGCATTCCGGGCCCCCCGGGGGGTTGGTGGGGGGTAGATGGGAAAGCGCCGCTGTCTGTTCAGGAGTTTTTCCAATGCATGCAAACAGAGGCGGGGGCGACGGTGCTGCCCGAGTTTCGAAAACGGCCGCGCGCTGTGTAGTAATATTCCCTGTAGGGTTTCTGGCAGCATAAAGTTTATCCCCTCCCCTGCCTCACGTTCCCTAACACATACACAACTGGCGGCACCGAGCTGCTTTCGGGCCGAAATGGGCCCGTTGTGGGCCGTAACGTTCTGTACGCACCTTGAAACGAGTCGGGCCGACTCAGTGCCGACGCATTTCGGGCTCGGTCGGCGGCGAGAAGGTCTCGGGCGGGCGGGCAGGGCCGTGGAAAAGCGAGCGGTCGGTGAATCGCAGACACACTAGTGTTCTCCTTCCGTCTGCAGCGGCAACTCCCGACTTTCTGTGCCCTTAAAAGCGAATGTTCGCTTCGAAAGTTCCATATCTCGCGTTCGGGCGCCGTCGTTCGGCTGCTTCCGCCGCTCGGCGGCCCGCCCTCGCGAGGCCACACCAGCCAAATCGGCTCGCCAGCCAATCGGCGCGCGGCATCGCGCGTGACGTCACCGCGACCCCCTCCCGTGCAGACCCCTACTCGCATTCTCACTCGGTTCTATTTCCGCGCGCGGCTATAAATGAGCCTTGCACAGACGCACGCACCGTAAAAATTTAATGAAAATGCTGCAGAGCCGGGAAAGTCGGCGCTCCCCTCCAGCCCCCGCCCTTTCTCTGCTGTCCGGATTGTCTGGAAAATCGGACACACGCGACTGTGGCGCGTCGGCGCGACACGTCGGAGAACGAAAAGCGGCGTGAACCGCAGTTTGACCTCGCGCGCGCCGCGCATATAAGAAAATTATGTTGCTGCTTCGGCGTGTGTGGGAACTTTCCCAGGCCACCGAGACCACTTACGGCTCCATGTTGAGAAAATCCATTTCGGGAACCCGCGACAAGTCTTTATGAATGTTTCGCGCTGGGCAATAACTGTTGTCCCGCGCGTCGTGTCGCAACTCTTTTGGTATTTCGTGTTTCTCGGTCTGCGGTTTCACGCGTTATTGCGCGATACTTTTTCAACATTGGTGGTCTCTTGCTTGAACAACAGAGTTGTCCGTATAATTTGTTTGAGAATAAATGAATCGCCTCTTTATGACAGCGAGAAAGGTGCCGCCCTAAGATTAGGACCAATAAAAATGCTGCATGCTTTTGCTCTTGACTTCTCTGCATTATTATTTTTTCATATATCGTGTGCGCCAAGAAAAAACGCTCTTTTTTATATCGACACAGTTAAAGACAAAATAAATTTTGTTAAAATTGCTTTTCCTTTATTGGCCTGCGCTATTATGCTAAAAGAGAACTCATTGAAGAGTTAAAAATTGGCGTTTGAAATCTCAAAATGAAATACAGGAAACGTTTGTTGCATTCGAGTTCATTTTGAAAATAACTTGGTTATAAAAATTTTGTGTACATTTAAATTTTAAAACACTATTTCTCAGTCCGAGAGAATAATGTAATGCCATTTCAAATCTAAAGATATATAATTTTTTATGCTCTTCGTACCTTCGTACGTTATATTTTATATGTGTCGACTAACGAAATTTTTGTGCAGCGATTTTATTTCTGAAACAGAAAATTTTGTTATACCGTTTTTTCTCCTTTTTACGGAAGAGATTAACAGTTTTTGAAGCATCAGATTTTGTCTCGCGAGAGGTTTCAAGTTTTTTACGCTCTCAGCAAAAAGAGCTGTATACTGCAGTTGATTAATCTGCTCATGATTTCCAAATAATAATATAGTTTCAAAAGAGCCTTTAATATATTTGTAAAACCGTGAAAATCTATATAGAAAATGATTCAACATTTAATATTTTTTTCAATAACATTACGTTGTTCAAAAAAATGTTATCCTCTAATAACATAACAAAATTTATCTTTTTTGTAATTTATGGATTCACTGGCGCAAATCAAAAAAATTTTCATTTCCAAGAAAGCTGTTTTGCTTAATTTCTTTGTTTATTAATGTTGTTGTTTATTTGTCCAAATTGATAGTTTTTCGGGTATAAAAGATATTTTTTGGAATTGCATTGTGTTTGTTCGTCGCCACTGCTGTCTGCATATTTCTTTATTTTGCGCGGCCTAAGCTGATACCTGTGGGTGCAGATGGGTTTATTGCTCTTTTGTGCACTTGCAGTATTATACGCGCTCTTTTTCTTTCTTCTGTTTTCTCCTGGCAAGCGAAGGGCTGCTGCCGCGACTGATTTTCTTCTCCACCCTCTTGGCGGCGCCGGCCACGAATACACTTGCTTTTTTCTTTGAAATAATTCTTGGCCGCCTTGATGGGATTATAAAAGAAAAAAAGCAAGTGTTCATGGCCGGCGCCGACAAGAGGGAGGAGAAGAAAATCAGTCGCGTCGCGGCAGCAGCCCTTCGCTCACCAGGAGAATACAGAAGAAAGAAAAAGAGTGGCGCCGCACCTATTGCAAGTGCACAAAAGAGCAATAATCCCATCTGCACCCACAGGTATATCAGCTTAGGCCGCGCAAAATAAAGAAATATGCAGACAGCAGTGGCGACGAACAAACACAATGCAATTCCATAAAATATCTTTTACTTGAAAAACCAACCGGAAATAATTTAGTCTTCTTTCGACCACCGCTGAGAAAGGTACGCTTAAAACGAGTGGTAGGAAACTGTCCAGAGTTGAAACTGTCCAGGGGTTGAAACCGTCCAAAAGATGGAGGATTTACAAAAAACACACCCTTATATGGGGAGGAGTGAATTGTGAGGGCATGACCAAGAATAGTGAGAAATGGAATCGTATATAATATTTTTTAAGAGGGACAAATAATCGATTGCAATGATGTAATTATTTGTATCTTTTAATGCTTTCAATATTGGACAGTTTCCACCATTGAGTTGAAACTCTCCAGGGTTAGAAGTGGCACCGCTGTCGCTGGACAGTTTCACCTTCTGGGCAGTTTCAACTTATAAATAATGCTGCTAATTGTTATTCTCCAGTACTGGACAGTTTCCACCGTTGCGTTGAAACTCTCCACGTTTACAAGCGGCAACACTGCCGCTGGACAGTTTCACCTTCTGGAGAGTTTCAACTCTTGACAATTATCAATCAGGTATATTTTCTTGGACAGATTCACCCCTCTGCTACTCCCAGAATATAAATTGAGTGATATTTCGGTGACATATTTGGGTGATCTCGTTCCCATATATCCCTTATGGTTTATGGTGCTGACGCGGGGGCGGGCTTATTCAGGGACTTCAGAGTGCAAAAAGTTTCAGGTAGTGTCAAAAGGAGATGCTTGGTGGGGCGTAACGCAGATTCTTAACTATGAGTAAAGTATTAAATTTTATACAAGCAAAATTTGAAAATTACCATATAAATATGAGGTTGCAACTAATATTGTGAATATAATCAAAAAAGGGTAAAACGTGGTGTTTTCTGAAAACTTAACAAGAAATTTTGATTTTTATGTTTGGGAAATACCTGCCATAAAAACACTATGCATGCTTATATTTTTTATTAATAAAAAGAGATTGATTTCAATCCCACTCAAATTAAAAAGCTGAGGCCTATTAATTACTTTATTGTGGGTTATTTTACATTCCGTTGCGTTTACATAAATTGGTTTAGTTTTTAGTTAAAAATCACTGAAGGGCTTTAGGTTCACTATTAATTGTCTCGTGGATTTTCTCTCCCGCGGCAAATAAAGGTTAAATTATAAATGAAGTATCCAAAATTTGTATACGTCCCTGAGTAAGAAATCTGTAATTTTGTTGTGGCTCAGCGAAGGTGGCAAAGCAGCTCATTCAACCCTTTGTATAATTTGTTGTTTGCGACCTATTTCTTGCTCCAAGGGGAGGTTGTGAGCGAGCCAGAAATGCAGTCGATGAGGCACACTGGCGCACACAAAGGAAACAATAAAAATAGCCCAAAGGGTTCGTGCGCTGAGCGAAAAAGATCTTCCAGGAGAGGCAGTAAAAGGAAGAAAAATCTTTTTCGTCTCTCCTGCGGTCTGTGGAATCAGCTGATTGCTGCAAAAATCCATTTCAGTTTTTAATTATTTGCAATTGTTCTTAACGCAGCAAAATTATAAAGCGTGCATCATTAAATTCTAAATAAATATTTTTACTTTGCCTGTTTTTCTCAAATTTTTCGTAATATTTGAAGTGTCATTAAAATTAAAAAATGTGGATATTTGATAAATTTTGGAAAAAAGTTTCTTTTACTATCCTGAGACGTTTATTCTAGAATGGTAAAAGTTTTGTTTGTAAAATTCTGACCAGCAGTTTTCTTAATAACACGCTCAATAGTTTTCCATTTTTGACGCGTTTTTTTTCACTTCGAATTTAATATTAAAAAAACAAAAAGGGTTATAAATTGCTCTGCAACAGAATTTTGTGCGCAAATATGTGCCACATATCAGGAATTTTTGAAACATTTTTTGGTACAAAAGAAAGTACAGTATTCAGCAAAATATGCTAATTTTTTAAGTTTTTTCTTTATAACTTGCTCGCGTTGACAACGAATTTTTTCAAAAAATTTGTAGACGTAGATAGGGCAAAAATGAAAACATCCATAAAATTTGGAGCTCACTGCTTTAATGGGAGATGAGAAATCAGCAATTAATACATTTGTCACGCCCAATTCTAGCGGCGCGAAAAAGCAGCCGTACGCTTATAGCAGAGTGAAGCCGAGATTTTAGATCACTTGGAAGCGAGAATTCAAATTTTTATAACTTTGCTCCTAATTAAAATAAAATGTTCATTTTTGAAAAAGGGATTCAATTTTCTTTTTACCATCAACTTTTGTATCAAAAGTTTTTAGGTAACTTTATCTGGATCCTACATAATTGAATTTTAAGATTTTATGCTAATCAAAGAAATTTAATAAAAATCGAAAAAAAGTGAATTTTAAAAGTATAACAAAGAGATTATTTAAAATTTATATTTAATATATAGATTTAAATATTAACTCGATATTTCAAAAGAATATTCTCACATTCGCAAGATATTGCAAATTTATTAAATATTTTATAAATATTTATGGAGTTTTAACAATGTTATATTTGTTTATTTGGCATTTTAAATGTTTGACAATTTAAATATTTTAAATTAGATAAATGACAAACGAATTGTAAAAAAATCAAAGTTTGAGAGCAATTAAAATTTTTTTAATTACGACTAAAAACTAAATTGCACACCGCGCTAGATAATTGACCAATATGGAAGTTTTAAATTTGATTCTGCTCCGCGTGAGAATGAAGGTGCATTAATTTTTTTAAATGAGAGCTCAACCGCATTTTATTTAATCAAAACAGAGAATTGAATCACAGGCTAAGAAAAAATTCCTGACACCTTGCAGGCCCATGTTAACTAAAGTGTTTCTTTCTCTCGCACAACCTGCAGAAGTTGTCAGCCAGAGCACTTT